AAATGAAAGCAGAGTGTACAATCCAGGTGCCCCAAACTCCCACCCTGCCCCCTCCCCAGGGCCTGGCCCCAGCTTCTCCCCCACGCTCTTCTTTCTGCGGTCAGAACTTTCTTGTAGGCAGACGGGAAGGGAGCAGGGCAGGGCCCGGATGCCCTTTGGCCCACACCGTGTGCGGTCCACACCCGGTAGGCTTTTGTCAGGAAAGGCCAGACATGTTGGTCCATTTGGCATTTAGTGGTATGTGTAGTGGCTCCAAGGGCCTGGTCTGTGGGCCTCTACCCCGCAGCGTGGGGTCGTGTGTGTGTGTGTGTGTGTCCCTCCTGTTCCTTCCGTACGTCCGTAGGACCTGGCGAGTGGAGCAGAGGCTCCTTCCGTTCAGGATGCTGTATGACAGTCCTGTAGACGCTGTGACTCAGCGACGGCAGGGACTGGTTTCCCCCTGGTTTTGGCAGCCGGACGTTCTAGATCACAGGGCCAGCAGATCTGGTGTCTCCAGGGCTGCCCGGGTCACCCTCGGCGTGGAGGGCAGCAGGCCTCTGGCACTGCTCCACTCACCAGGCCGCCGCCCTTTGACCCCTCACCTCCCCACGCCCCTGCCCCAACGCTCCCCTCCCGTTGTTGACTGGGTGGGAGGCACGGCCACAGGTAAGCGCTGAGTGAGGCGTGGTGATGACAGTAGTGCTGTTGTTTTCACCTTAAACCCTGAAAGACAACCATCATTACCATGGTTACCGTGGCTATGGTGCGTGGGGGGCGCGGGCAGTGCACCGGCTCGGCTGTCCGCTGCATTCCCAGACCCAAGTCTACACCTTCCCTTCTGCCCTGCTCTGTAGTGGACCAGGGCAGTGGCCACGCTAGCACAGGCCCTGCCAAAACGGATAGACATCTGTCCTACCCCATCTCTGCTGGCCCCGAGTCTCTCCGGCTCACCCCGCAGCCCGGGTGGCTGTGAGGAGCTGATGGTGTGCGGCACGTTGCGGGCCCAGTGGTCTGTCCGGGTGGTCTGTTCTGTGCCGACAGCTGTGTGTGGCAGCAGGTTTGCCCCTGAAGAAAGGCTGGGCGGGGCCTCATCTCCGTTCACCTGAAAACCTTGGAGAAGATTTTGAAGATACAGATATTTTTCAAGAGTCACTTCACCAAATGATAAATAACCTATTTATTATCTAAAGAAACCACTGTTACCATAGCCCTTCCCATCAGAGCCCACCGCGTAGCTCTGCCTCTGTCCTTTAATCCAGGGACTTTCTTGTGTCCCCAGAGCCCACTGTGTATTTATTTACTTATTTATGTCAGTCCTGGGGTTTGAACTGGAGACTTCATGTTCTCACTTGGCTTCTTTGCTTAAGGCTGGTGTGCGACCACTTGAGCCACACCTTCCCTTTTCTTCGCTGGTTCATTGGAGATGAGAACCTCTTGGCTTTGTCTGCCTGGGCTGGCTTCAAACCAGGAGCCTTAGGTCCTAGCCTCCTGAGTAGCCAGGCTTGTAGACACACACTGCCAGTGCCTGGCTACAACCGCTTTTTGATGTGTGAATGATACTGCTGCTTCTAAGAGCCTCACCGCCCCGGTGGGGGGTCCCACGCCGGCGCATTGTGTGTGGTGTAACCCTGCAAGGGACATCGTCACTCATAAAGCTTTTTCTTCATTTCCCATTTCACACAATCTCCTTAGATGACTCTCCCAAAAATGAAATGGTTGAGCCGGAGGGCATCACACTTTCAATTTCTCCAGTGCTTTTTCTGGTTGTATTTGATGCCCTCGTTGTAACACGGAGTCGGGCATAGAGCAGCCTTCCCACCCTCTTCACACAGAATCACTTCGGTCCCTTTCCTTCCTCCCTCTGCCCCCTGGCATGAGTTGCTAGAGAGACCGGGAGAGACGGTGCATGATGGTGAGCGGTGTCTGGATGCAGTGGACCCCCGGAAGGAGGGCCGCTGGGGCCAGCTACATGGCCTGCGTGGGAGCAGGGGAGGGGCCGGGCGATGGACACAGGAGGGTGGAGGCGGGCGGGGTTCGATCGCCCACCCAGGACAGGCAGGGGAACCAAGATTGGCACTCAGGGTGAGTGGCCAGAGTGCCTGGCCACTAGGAGGGACTCTGGAATGGTGAGGTGTGTGGACGGCTGTTGTTATAATACCGAGGGCTGGAGAGGGCAGGAGGGCTGCGCAGAGCCCCAGGTAGTGGGTCGTGGCGGGGGGGGGGACAAGTCACCTCCAAATGGAGGAGTCAGAGAGGCGAGCACATAGGCTGGAGCCGCCCCCAGCTGGCTGGACCCAGCCATCACCATGGGCCACACTGACACTTCCCTCCCCCTGACGTGACCCCACCCCCGGCCTTGCTGTCATACCTGCTTCATTTCTACCCCAGACTTAAGCTTAGGGGGTCAAGGGTCTTCCCATCTCCCAGAGTGGACAGCAGGCCTGGGCTACTAGAGCCATTTATGGTAGAACTCCCGTATCCATGGTTTTGCTCTCCTGATGCAGTCTGGAGATATTGGTTGGGGGAATTTCAGGAAGAACTTGTAGGCATGAGGAGCATGCTCTTCTGAGTGGTGAGAGGAAACCTCCCGTGCTCTTTCCCTGGACGCATCCCTCTGTCCAGAGTATCTGTGCTGCATGCACGGCCCTCTCTGTCATCACACAGCCTTTGTGGCACCCCATGCCTGTGTTCAGGAGCCCTTGTTTTATTTAAAACAGTCGTTATTTTATTACGCTATTACGATTGTTAGTCTCTTGCTGGGTGCGATCTATAAATCAGTATGTATGTACGTCCTGTGTTCTAGCAAATGCAAGGTTTGGTGCTCTGCAGTTTCAGACATGCACAGGGCCTTGGAATGTTTCCTCCATGAAGGGGGGGGTGCTGCCTTACTGAGCAAGGCTGACTGCCTGGTGGCCCCTGCGGGGACCCTGGCACACCTGGCTGTGAAGGAGCGTTGTCACCAGCAGGGAGAGATGCATGGAAGAGTAGATCAGAGCAACCGAGGCCTCCCTGGGTGGAGAAGCCAAGCCGGCCAGATGGAGTGGGGGGCTAGCTGTCAGGACAGGGAACGGAGATGCATGGGCCGAGCCCTTGAGGCCGGGGCCTCCGTGGTCCCAGGGCGCAGGCCTGCCTGAGGCCTGCCCCGGAAGGTTCCCCTTGGGGTGCTGCAGGCTGAGATCTGCCGACCCCCCTGAGACCCGGCACTGTCCACCTTCAAACAAGCCCTGCCCTGCCCAGGACAGACTGCAGCCCTGTGTTCTCCCTCGAGCCCACAGAGGAGGTGGCCTGTCCCCTGCCTGGGTCACTCAGGCCAGGCTCGGAAGAGCCCACAGAGCTCACTCGTAGCAGAGGATGAGCTCACAGAGCACTTCTCAAAGAGGGGTTCCCCGGAATGAGCGGCAGCCTCATGGTCCTCCTTGTTGACCTCCGCGAGGGCTACGTTTTGTAGGAGAGGCTTACCCAGAGGTCGTGAAAGCCTGTGGTCTCACACTGTTGATTATTTTTCTGCACTAGCCATGCAGCATCAACGGAGCTGTAATTCCTCGGTGAGTTTGTGGAGGACTGCCGGTCTGTTCCCCCGCGGACACAGGCCCCTGTGCTCCTGCCTGTGCTGTGCTTTCCGGCGGAGGTAGAGCAGAGAGAAGTGCATGCATGCAGAAAGCCCGCAGGGCCTCAGCTGACAGGCCTCCCCACGTGACCGATTCGGTCGTCTGTGCGTGCGTGCGTGCGTGTGCAGAGGTAATCTGCGTGTGCGGAGCGTGCTCACTGGAGCCTTCATTTGCAGGTGTGGACGCCTCCTGGCGCTCCACCTGCCCCGGCGCCCTCCCTCAGGGCACCAGGGTGTTCCCTGCCCCTCCTGTCACCGCTCCGTGAAAATGCACGTTTTCCTGCGCATTCAAGAATCTCTGCCATGCTCCCTTAGGATCTGGCTCTGATAATGTGATAATGAAGGATTGTATTTAATGAGACACCCCTCTCAGGTCATAGCAATGCATTTTAATAGGGGCTTTCTGGAGACTACCTTAACCCCAGACTTTCCACATTGCTGATGGAACATTGGTCCGTCTGTTCTCTCAAGGAAGAGAAGTCAGAGTCCATGCTGACATACACTTAGGAGTGGTGACCCATCAGCCAGTCTTCCTTTGGTTTTGAGATAGGTCGTCCCCTCTTAAAGGTCTGACATGACGCTGACGCTTTTCCTGCCCTCCTGATGAGAGCCCCGGAAACAGCACCTGCTGCCCAAGTCCTCACCTGCCTTGGAGCAGCGAGGGATCCATGGATCTTAGACTTTTGTGGCTGGCTTATTTGACTCGGTGCACTGGTGTAACGCAGGCAGCCATGTTTCCCCCTTTCTCCGGACTGGTGTTCTGTGGCAGGGAGAGGCTGGGTCTGATCAGCCGTCATCACTGACAGACATTTGGCTCGTTTCCCCTTCCGGCTGTGCGGAGTGACACGGTGCTGGATGTTGTATTGCAGTGGCCTTTGGTCTCTTGTCTGACAGCCCTACATAGGTGTAGTTACTCTGCTTTGTCTGCACAGGAGATAGGTGATGCTAGGTCGCTTTTTTTTTTTAAAGTGAAAACTAAAGTGCTTTTATTGTTGGAGTATGTTAATTTATGGAACCCGTAGGATCCTGCCTGTCAACTGTTTTGCTGTAAGCATTGGTGGCTGGGCCCTCACCAATAGGTGATTCAGCCAGAAGGCAGAGAGAATCCCCATTGTGGGCGGGGTCCCAGGGGGCATGCTGGGTTCCTTGGCCTCTGTCCCCAGCCCCCCCAGCCAGCTGACATCTCTGAGAATGGGCAAGGGTTGGGGGAGACCCCCATGGTAAGGCTGCTGTGCGGAGAAGCGGGCGTGAAACCCTACTCCTCGGCGCAGCGGCAGCAAAGTGGGCCAGGGTGGCCCGCGTGCCTGGGTGCCTGGCTGAAAAACATCTTTTTAAAGATCACCTGACTGCTGGGGAGGCCGCGTCCTTGAAGATGATTTACTCCTGCTCACTGCGCTTCATTCTTCTCTCCTAGCTTATGTTCCCGAGGAGGAATTGAAGGCGGCGGAAATAGATGAGCAGCACGCGGAGGATGGTGGGCTGTCCGCGGACATTCAGGAGAGCCAGTTCGCGTGTAATGAAGAGGCAGAGATCAAAGAGCCCCAGAGCTACCAGAACTCTCCCGTCAGCACTGCCACCAACCAGGACGCTGGCTACGGGTCCCCCTTCAGCGAGAACAGCGACCAGCTGGCCCACTTCAAGAACTCCTCCTCCAGAGAAGAGAAGGAGGACGCCCAGGGCCCCGACGGCATCTCGTACCCTCAGGACAGCTTGGCACAAATCAAAGCCGTGTATGCAAACTTGTTCTCGGAGTCCTGCTGGTCTAGCTTAGCTTTGGATTTAAAGAAGTCCAGTTCGACCACCAGCAACAGCGATGCTGGCCAGAAGGAGAGCTCCGCTCCGCCCCCCACGCCCCCCACCAGCACTGCCAGCACCACGGCCGCGGCAGGGGCGGCGGCGGCGGCCGGGACCGCCAGCACCAGCAGCAGCACCAGCAGCAGCCACAGCAGCAGCACCAGCAGCAGCGGCGGCGGCGGCTCTGGGTACGACTGGCACCAGGCCGCGCTGGCCAAGACGCTGCAGCAGACCTCGTCGTACGGGCTGCTGCCGGAGCCCAGCCTGTTCAGCACGGTGCAGCTCTACCGGCAGAACAACAAGCTGTACGGCTCGGTGTTCACCGGGGCCAGCAAGTTCCGGTGCAAAGACTGCAGTGCTGCCTACGACACCCTGGTGGAACTGACGGTGCACATGAATGAGACGGGCCACTACCGGGACGACAACCGGGACAAGGAGTCGGAGAAGACCAAGCGCTGGTCCAAGCCCCGGAAGCGCTCCCTGATGGAGATGGAGGGCAAGGAGGACGCGCAGAAGGTGCTGAAGTGCATGTACTGCGGACACTCCTTCGAGTCCCTGCAGGACCTGAGCGTCCACATGATCAAAACAAAGCATTACCAGAAAGTGCCTCTGAAAGAGCCAGTGCCAGCCATCACCAAGCTGGTCCCTTCAACCAAGAAGCGAGCACTTCAGGACCTGGGGTCTCCTTGCTCCCCGGAGCCAGTGGGGGTGGCCTCCGAGGCGGCGCTGGGAGACGCGGCCAAGGACCAGAAAGCGGCAAACCCGTACGTCACGCCCAACAACCGCTACGGCTACCAGAACGGGGCTAGTTACACGTGGCAGTTCGAAGCCCGCAAAGCTCAGATCCTCAAGTGCATGGAGTGTGGCAGCTCCCATGATACCTTGCAGCAGCTCACGGCCCACATGATGGTCACCGGCCACTTCTTGAAGGTGACCACCTCCGCCTCCAAGAAAGGGAAGCAGCTGGTGCTGGACCCCGTGGTGGAGGAGAAGATCCAGTCCATACCCCTGCCCCCCACCACTCACACCCGGCTGCCAGCCTCCGGCATCAAGAAGCAACCCGACTCCCCCACCGGCTCCATGGCTCCGGAAGAAAAGAAAGAGCCGGACAAGGAGAAGGAGAAGGTGCCGGCGGCGGGGGGAGACCCAGAGAGGAAGATCAAGGAGGAGAGCGAGGAAGGCTCGGAGAAGTTTGAGCCCACGACGGCCCTCTACCAGTACCTGCGCGAGGAGGACCTGGATGACAGCCCCAAGGGGGGCGTGGACATTCTGAAGTCCCTGGAGAACACGGTGTCCACGGCCATCAGCAAGGCCCAGAACGGCGCGCCCTCGTGGGGTGGCTACCCTAGCATCCACGCGGCCTACCAGCTGCCGGGCACGGTAAAACCTCTGCCGGCGGCCGTGCAGAGCGTGCAGGTGCAGCCGTCCTACGCCAGCGGCGTGAAGGCACTGTCCTCCGCCGAGCACAGCGCCCTCCTGCCCTCCCCGGGGAGCCTCACCCCGCCTCCGCACAAGAGCAACGTGTCTGCCATGGAGGAGCTGGTGGAGAAGGTCACGGGCAAGGTCAGCGTCAAGAAGGAGGAGAGGCCAGCCGAGAAGGAGAAGGGGTCCCCGGCCAAGGCTGCCTCCCCGGGGGCAAAGGAGAACAAAGATTTCCCCAAGTCAGAGGAGACCGGCAGCAAGCCACAGAAGAAGGGCCTGGATGCCGAGACGGAGAAGGCCAAAAAGGAGGGTCCGGCGGACGCCCACACCCCAAACGGCACAGAGCCTCTCAAAGCCAAGGTCACCAACGGCTGCAGCAACCTGGGCATCATCACGGACCACTCGCCAGAACCTTCCTTCATCAATCCACTCAGTGCGCTGCAGTCCATCATGAACACCCACCTGGGCAAGGTCTCCAAGCCCGTGAACCCCTCCCTGGACCCGCTGGCCATGCTGTATAAAATCAGCAACAGCATGCTGGACAAGCCCGTGTACCCCAGCACCCCGGGAAAGCAGAGCGACCCCATCGACCGCTACTACTACGAGAACAGCGACCAGCCCATAGACTTGACCAAGTCCAAGAACAAGCCCCTGGTCTCCGGCATGGCCGAGCCCGTGGCGTCGCCGCTGCGGGAGAGCGCGCTCATGGACATCTCCGACATGGTGAAGAACCTCACGGGCCGCCTCACCCCCAAGTCCTCCACGCCCTCCACGGTCTCGGAGAAGTCGGATGCCGATGGCAGCAGCTTCGAGGAGGCGCTGGATGAGCTGTCCCCTGTCCACAAGAGGAAAGGACGCCAGTCCAACTGGAACCCGCAGCACCTGCTCATCCTGCAGGCCCAGTTCGCCTCCAGCCTGCGGGAGACGGCGGAGGGCAAGTACATCATGTCGGACCTGGGCCCGCAGGAGCGGGTGCACATCTCCAAGTTCACCGGCCTCTCCATGACCACCATCAGCCACTGGCTGGCCAATGTGAAGTACCAGCTGCGGAGGACAGGAGGAACGAAATTCCTCAAGAACCTCGACACAGGGCATCCTGTTTTCTTTTGCAACGATTGTGCCTCTCAATTCAGAACTGCTTCTACATACATCAGCCATCTTGAGACTCACCTGGGCTTCAGCCTCAAGGACCTCTCCAAGCTGCCGCTCAGTCAGATTCAGGAGCAGCAGAGCGTCTCCAAAGCCCTGGCCAACAAGACATTGGGCCCCCTGGGGGCGGCCGAGGAAGACTTAGGCTCCACATTCCAATGCAAACTCTGTAACCGGACTTTTGCCAGCAAGCACGCAGTCAAACTGCACCTCAGCAAGACGCACGGCAAGTCTCCAGAGGATCACCTGATCTACGTGACCGAGCTGGAGAAGCAGTAATGTCCCCGCTGTGCACGGGCCCGCTGGACAGCACACTCACTCCCCGTCACCCTCCAACCGCACCAGGCCAAGCCTGAGCCGCCCACGCCAGCCCTTCCTTGGTTGCTGAACTACCTGCCTATCTGGACCTTGGTTTTTCTTACACATATTTTGTAGTTATATTTATATGCTCTTTGTCGGGTCTGTGCATGTTATTTTCTTTTCTTGCTTCTTTTTTTTTTTTTTTTTTTTTTACTTCCGTGAGTCAAAGTCTGACCTTTATTTTCAACATCTGTTCTTGGTGTTAAGCTATCTTTTGTAGGAAACAGTGGGGCATACTACTCAGTAAAGAAAGACACAAATAGCAATGATAAAAAGACATCCTAAACTTAGGAAGTTGCCATGACAGTAAAGGTCATAGAATCTGGTAGTGTCAAATTTAACCCTTTGAGGACTTGTAATTGCATCTCTGTGCCTTTCACTCAAAAAAAAAAAAAAAAACCAACAAAAAGAGAAAAAAAGAATAAAAAGGCTTAAAGGCATTTCATTCAGATCAAAAGCTGTGTCAGACACAAAACTTATTTAATAATTAAAAGATGAGCTTTTCTATGCAGGCTGGTCTGTGTGGGAGACTTGCATGCTCCCTTGGAGGATGGCGCTGTCAAAAAGACCCCTGGGGTTAGCAGTCCACACCTGCACCCGTTTCAAACAGAAAACAAAACACCAAAAACACAAACAACAATCACCACCACCAATACCCCAGTTGCCACTAAGCCCAGACCCTCTGGATGCTGAAAAATGCCACTATTGGCAAGAAAAAAAAATAGTATGCAAGCTATTATTTAAAAAGAAAAAATGTATAAAAATGCTATTTCTTTCGTTTTTTTTTGTTCCTGTAAAATACTGCGGTTTATAGTTATTTACAAATGTAAGCTTTGGTACAAGCTGACCTTTCTATAGCGTGCTGCATTGATAAATGGAAAAAAAAATCTGGGGCAAATGTTGGAGTCCTTTCCTTGTAAATTACCAACATCAGCTTATGCACTTCTGTAGGTTATAAATGGTATCATTTTAATCTATCCTACTTTCTTTGTACCTTCTGGCTGTATGCTTTCTCTTTTAACTTTTTATATTGTCATTTTATATTAAATTTCTGTGTATATAATGTAAAACCACACTTTTTTGGATAAAAGTTAGTTCCTGCAGCTTGATTTAAATAGAGGAATTTTACGGGCACCTGTATCTTCCCAGATGCATGTACTCAGAGGAACTATCAGGCAAAAATAAATAAAGAAAAACAAAGCAAGCAATGCACTATTAATGATACATTTTGATGTTTGTCATTAATATTGTACAGTACATTTTGGTTCACACAATTAAAATCCACTGTTTTCTCACATGTAAAATAAATCCACACGCAGTTCTTGATTTACACGGATTGTCATGTCGTCATTAGCGGGCCTTTTGAGATGCTATTTCAGCAACAAGAGCTGTTGCTTATGCAATCAACCAACAAAAATTCTATTCAGAATCATCCGTTTAGCCTCCATGTGCTGACACGCTTCATTCAGATGAGAAGTGTTGCAGTTTTAAAAGTGATAATTAAAAATTTTACCTCCACTGGGTGCCAAGGGTTACTATTTAGCCATCAGCCATGGCTGTTTTCCACCTCGGTGGGCTCCACTACTGCCTTCAGAGAATCCCTTTGCCTTAATTAGAAATGCTTGCCACCACCTCTGTGCCCTCTCTTCCCTCCCTCCTTCCCTCCCTCCCTCCTTCCTTCCTTCCTTCCTTCCTTCCTTCCTTCCTTCCTTCCTTCCTTCCTTCCTTCCTTCCTTCCTTCCTTCCTTCCTTCCTTCCTTCCTTCCTTCCTTCCTTCCTTCCTCCTTTTCCTGGCACTGGTGTTTGAACTTAGACCCTTAACCTCTTTCTTCCTTGCCTTTTCCACTCAAGGCTAGTGCTCTACCATTTGAACCACACATTCATCTCTGGCTTTTGGGTTGGTAGATAAGAATCTCACAAATATTCCCACCTGTGCTGGCTTCAAACCTTGATCCTCAGACCTCAGCCTCCCTAGTAGCTAGGTTTACAGACACGAGCCTCTTCTGGATTCCCTCATCATACTGTGTTCGAGCAAGTCTTTTTTCTGCATATGATGCCGGAATGTGGCGGTCTGCACTGAGGATGCTGGACTCTACTCTGCCAGTCCAGAGCTCGCTGCCCGAGCATGTCCTCTGGGAAATGGACACCGTGGCTCTCCAGCCTCCTTCTGGGAAACATGGAGGGGAAATTTAACTTTTTCACCGTGAGCTGAAATTTTCCATTCTGGAGAAAGGTTAGAACCCACTGCTCAGGAGCAGCTGAGCAGCGGTGATATTTTAATTATTTCCCCAGCTTAGCGGGTGGCTGAGGATCAGCTAATGACGGGCGGGGAGGCCGCGCTCCCCGGGGTCTGTTTGCACAGGCCTCTTGCTAATGCGGCCAGCACAAGAGAGATTCGCAAAATTTTTCTGACTTTTTCCATTGGTAAATAGTTGTGTCCTTTAGGAGTCTCCACCACTCAGACCTTTCAGTTCAATTACTGGGTGATTATGTACTTTGGGCTCAAGGGGTGACAGCGAGGAATAACAATTAGGCGGATGGCGTAGCTCCGGGGTCTTGACATAATCATCTTCGGAAGCTGTGTTGATTTTACTGCAGACCCGACAGTCTCTCCACCTCACAGAAGAGCTGTGTAGCTCAGGTAAGGCCAGGAGGGGCTGGCTGGGGCCAGATGCTTGGTCAAAGCCGCTTACCACCTGACCTCTGCTCCCTGGGGACAGACGCAAACTCCCAGGCTTCCTCTCTTGGTTTTTTATTGTATTTCCTCAACACACTGGGTCTGGTCATCAGACCAGGTTCCCCAGTCACAGGCCGCAGCGGAGACGAGGCTTGGGGCTGGCGGCCCTGCAGTGCCGAGTGGCGCTGTGCTGCGTGGCCAGCGCATGGGAGATCGTTGCCTCCTCACGGGTTGGACGTGGGCCCGATGACCGTCGCCTCCAGTGTGCAGGCAAGGAGCCTGGGCGAAGCGCGTCAGCCCCGGTCCGTGGTCCGTGGCTTGTGAGGGACAGCACTTGGATCCTCAGCCCTCAAAGCTCTTGAAGCAACGCCCGAGTGTCTCAGGTGAGCACTTGTGGCTCAGACCCTGGGAGGCGCTCGGAGCTTTCTGCTGGTGTCCATCCCCAGGAGCAGGAGGCAGAGGCGGGGTGCAGGGTCGAGGCCTGGGTAAGCCGAGGGCCCAGCGTTGTTCCAGTTGCCTCCAGATGCTGCAGTGGTCTGCTGGATATGAAAAATGAGTCCAAATGCCGTTTTGTTGTGACTTGGCACCAGGTATGCCTGCAGATGGGCCTGTGACAGTCAAGTTGTATAGGGGGTGAGATGCACCTTTCCAGGAGCAATCATCCATCCTTTCCTCCAGGCTCCTCCCGCGGCTGGGTGGGGGCACCTGCTCCTCACCTGCCTCACTGCAGGTGTGGGAGAGGAGCCAGAGAGAAGGCAAGAGACCAATGAGCCCTCTGTCCAGCACTGTGGTTGGATGAGGCTGTCATTGGACACTTGCTAAAGAAACCATCCTGTGCATTATGTTTGCAGCTTAAGCTTCAGCTTTAGTAACCAAATGTTTTCCCTTCAATGTAAGATTTTTAAAAGCTTAAGGGGCAGGGGGTATAGTGGTAGAGTGCTTGAGTGCTAGAGTGCTTGCCTAACATGTGTGTGAAGCCCTTGGTTCAAACCTCCTTACTGTGAAAGGATTGGAAGGAAGGGAAGGAGGGAGGGAAGGAGGGAGGGAGGAAGGAAGGAAGGAAGCAGCCAGAGTTTAAAATCTTGAGAACATGCAGAATGCTGCATGTGATTTAGTCAGTATTTGAAGGGAGATAAAGCCATTGAAATCACCATAGACAAAAGTTCATGTGAGGAACTTTTGTGCTAAAAGAAGAGATTCAATACTTTAAGATTTATATTTCTCCATTTCTGAAATTGATGATCTTTAAAAAGCCATTTATATTAGTCTACAGCATATCTAAACTATTTCAGAATTTTCAGACATTGTGCATACATAAGGCTTCTGCTTTTTCTGAGGTGTAATTTTCTTGTGATTTAATTTGTCCGAAGATGAGGGATTTATGCTATTGAAAGCCAATTGTTACACTGTAAGCCTAAAGATAACAGAGTAAAATCCCTCTTGGGGAGAATCTGTACATTTGACATACTATTACTCTTGGGTTAAAAGTGATCAAAGTAAAAAGAAGTTATAGAGGTTATCACAGAAACTTTGGAAAACAAAAACAACGGTGAAAATAAAAACTAGCTATCCCTTAAGTTCTTTTCATCTAAGTATATTCATATGTTAATATTTTCGTGCTGATTCCCCCCCCCCCATTAAACAGAGACTGTGGTGGACATAGCTTTGTACCTTGTTTTTCTTACTTGACACTGGATGATGGGTATTTCCTCAAACTATTGAATAATGAGATTGTTTCCCCCTGGTGCTGCAGTTTGAACTGGGGCCTCTCGCTTGCTATGCAAGCAGGTGCCAGCCACACACACCACTCTCCCTTTTGGCTCTGGTCTCACTTTTTACCTGAGCTGGCCTGGATGGTGATCCTTCTTTTCATACTTCCTGAGTAGTTAGGATGAATAGCACCGGCCACTATACCACACCCAGCTTTTCCTGTTGAGATGGGGTTGTGATGAGCATATTTGCAGTCCCGGAACTCCTCTGGTCTCAGACTCCTGTGCAATTGGAATTGTGTTAGGTTTTTAAAAAGAGGTTTCTGAGTAAGAACCACACCACGCATGTGGTATTCAGGTAGGGGGTAGGTTTATTCATCGTTCTGGCTGGTACCAGGCCATGCTGGCCCTCCACGTGGTGGGGAAAGGCCTGGGAAAGACCTGGGAAAGAGCTTCTGGGCCTGCGCTAGGCCTTATCTAGGGTATGGATGGAGAAAGGTGTGGCCACATCAAATTCAGATATGACCTCAGTGGATGCAGATGTGACCTCTTCCAGTTGTGCCCATTGCCTTGGTAATGCAGGTACTGGGTGGAGACTTTGCTGCGAGGAGGGTGGAGTCTGCTCGCCATCCAGGAGCAGATCTTACAGATTGCAGGCCTGGAAGAGGTCCTGGTGCCTGGCTAGTAGGTTTAAATCCTGCTTTGATGTATTGTGTTCATCTACTCAGTTCTCTATTAGTTAAAATTTTGACTGAAGATTCCTTTCAGATTTTCACTGTTGTAAATACGATCACAGACAACATTCCCCTCAATACTTGGTGGATATTTCCTTAAAACCAGTACTTGGAAGGGCCACTTCTGCTTTGTAGTTTGGCAGTGTCTGTGGCCCAGCCTCTCCAGCCCACGCAGCCACTGCTGAGACGGACACCCTGCACTACTGCTCTGTGAGCACGGAGGCTTATATTGAAAAAAGTTTCTTTTCTTGGCCCATTTTCACTAAATCTCAATATTTTACTCTATAGTATCTTCCATGTGTACTGTCTGTTTATCTTATTTAAGGAAAAGATGGTTTATGGCCCTGGGTAATTTTTGAAGCACATTCTCATGGATTATGCTTTCATTTATGTTCAGGTGGCCAGTGCATGCCCTAAAGAAAACCCACCACTGGGAGGAGGGCAGAGACTTGCGCTTGAGAGGCCCAGGACTTTCTGTGGGCCGGCGTTAGACCCCGGCCCCTGCCTTTTAATCCTTTTTAGTCTGCGATACTCCTGCCTTATTAAAACATCCTGAATGACTTCTCCAAGATAGTCACATCCTTTGAGGTGTCTCCAGATTGTCCAACTTGCTTATAGGAAGAAAAACTATTATTCTGTACGTTATGTTAGTAATTTACCATTAACACCGAGTAATGAAACAAACACATAATCTTAGGGTGAGCTACTTGTTAGGAAGAGATTGACCACCCAGGGTGGTCCATGAAGACCAGAGGCAGGCTTGTAAAACCCTGGTCGGAAGTGGGTCCCATGGGGCGGGGGGGGGGGAGCTCCGAACTCAAGTTCCCAGGTCCCTGAGATCTCAGGGCCTGTGTCCCAGGTTTCTGAGGGACACCGGCCGGGGACAGCAGCCAAAGCCAAGGATGACAAAAAACAGTCCTGTCTCCTTGAGGACAGTCAGGAGACACTTCAGCTGGACTGGTTGGTTCTCTCCAACAGAGAGCAACACAAACTTTCACCACAACTGTTTAGATGTTGGCCGGTCACTCCTCCGTGGTTGGGTTTATGTACCTGGTGTGATGCTGTGTTCCAGGCTTTTACTTCAAACAGAGAGTAGAAGCTGTGGATCTATCCATGTGCTTGATCACACTTGGTCAAACTATTTGAGGCCTGACACAGATACACATCCTGTCTAATAGAAACTAGAAAGTTAGTTTTCTGATTGAGAGAC